GTGGCTTGGATCTGCTGCACATTCTTCAGCTGATGCCGCACAGCACTGCTGTCGCCTCCAAAGCCTGCGTCACCCCAGGTCACGACAGATCCGTCCGCAAGAATGGCAGCAAAAGCCCAGCGAGTGGCTTGGATCTGCTGCACATTCTTCAGCTGGTCCTGCACAGCAGCACTGTCACCACCAAAGCGGGCCTTGCCCCATGTCACGACGGATCCATCGCCAAGAACGGCAGCAAAAGCGCGGTACGAGGCTTGAATTTGCTGCACATTCTTCAGCTGATCCCGCACAGCAGCACTGTCGCCACCATCGTCAGCATCACCCCACGTCACGACGGATCCATCACCAAGAATGGCAGCAAAAGCGCAGCGAGTGGCTTGGATCTGCTGCACGTTTGCACAGCACTATTGTTACCACCATAGCCGGAATCACCCCATGTCACGACGTATCCATCGCCAAGAATCGCAGCAAGTGCGGCTCTAGTGGTTTGAAGTCGAACTCGGCTTATTTGTAAAATCAGGGAGTCACCATTCTGTAGCCGGGCACGTTTGATCGGTGAACAGACATCCAGAACGCCTCCAGATGAGTCCACCAGCCGCCCCGTCCCTACTTCGAGCGCCGTCTCCGCCCGACGTTTCAGCGTTCCCACTTCTTCATCCAAGTCGGCGTTCACAGTAGTTGTCCTGCCACTGAGCAATCCAACTTCCACGGTAATCGACATGTTGTAGGGCGTAGACAGCTCAAAGGCGCATAGAAAAGGGTTTTGGGGTATAGTATAATTTGAAGATAGTAGGAATGGGAGCCCCAGGGAAGCCGATTATGAATTATGAAGGCTGCTGTATTAAGGGAACCGTGCTTCAATTTCAGCTCGCTTTCAGGTTACCCATTTCTAGCAGTTACTTAACGACCAGCTCGCGATATTACAGTCTACGATGCAAGGTCATGGTGAATTGGAACTTTAGGTTGCACAGCGCACAAAGACACGTTTGTTCCTAAACATTTCTCTACAGCCCTAAGGGTCCATGTACCCAAATGGTACATACTTTGGCCTTAATGTAGTCCCTATATAGGTACTTTAGGGCCAATGCATATACTATTGGGGTACGTGGACCCTTAGGGTAGGTCTTCCAGCCCAAACCCTGCAACTGCACAGATGAACATTTTGTCGAGAAAAAGGTTCCCCCAACATAACAAGGCACCCATTCGGACTATTTCCGTCCCAACGAAATTTTGAGCCTTGTCCCAGCGCGCGTATAGTCATTCAGACAATGGTTATAGCCTTGTCGTTACGTTAAAGTGCGGTTTATACGAAGGAGGAATGGCAAGATGGGTGTGGCGGGTGCAACAATTACGTTAAACCGTTTCTCAGCTTCCTCGACCCTACTATACTGAGACCCACTGCTCAAAAAGGCACAGGGTACACGGCTTGATCGCC